GTACATTGTACCGCTCACTCACAAGTTCCATACCACATTGAGGATCAAATGACATTTACTGAGCCCAGGTCAAGTAAACTTAAAACTTGAGTTGGATACAATTGGATACTGCAGAAAATCCATTAAGAATTAATTATATAAGGTAATGCAATGGACCCAGAATAAGGATGTCTCTGAAAAGTTTTATTATCATGCTTTCGAAAACTGGATGGTTGTGGAAAAACTCGAATAGCATGAGAATGCTAAATGACATAAAAATAATTCCTTTTAAATTTGTACAATATTGATATGCGCTATTTTGAAACCCGTGTCAATGTTGTTATGGTTTTAAGATTGGTTTAATGCCATTATTTTAAATTAGTCAATGATGAAACATTTACAAAATATTTATATAGTGAAAATTTTAAGTGTACATGTACTTGTTTAACACTGATATCTGACTACAAACGTTGTTATTGTTGCATTCCTTTATCAATTAATTTAATGATGCAAATGATACATGACTGTTATTATTATTGTGAAAACTATGTGAACAAAGAGCCATAGATGCCTTACCGTCGACACGGCCGACTCAAATATTTCTAAGAAAAACGACTCTTTCTATTTATAGATACCTTTTCTTCCAATTCAAGATCAAACTACATGTATGTAATGTAATCATTTGTGGACCAGTGTTATATTTTCATAGTTGAAAGTTTCTTAAATGAAAAACCTTTTATTTGTTCAAATACTCTTATTCTAAACAAAAAAAAAATCTATAAGATAAAACAAGCTAGTAGCAATGACTTTGGGTCATCAAAATAGTTTAGGACTGTTCTTTCCTGAGATACTTTCAAAATGTAATGTTGCATTATAATTATATGTTTTACATTATTTATTTAAGAAAACAAAGGAAAGATGCACAGATAGAAAAAATTAAAAAGCATAGGAAAAACTGTGAAACTTGAACCCGTTATCCTTATATTTACATCCAGGAAGCATATACCACTACATCGTCTCAAGCCACGGTCTGGAGTCCGCATATATAGCTCTCCCCAGAATGGGAGAGGATCGTACATTTTGGCTGTGGTTTGCGACTATGATACCACTACGCCACGAAGTCATTGATTTCGAATGGATAGATTTAAGGCAGATTGTTGAATCCTATGAGAAGAAAAATTAAATAAATACTTTCAACATTTTCAATATGCAGACCAGCTTTAACCAAAATTATCTAAATGTAATGAAGTGCAGTCATATCCAAATAAAATTATTCAGAAGTTGATTTTCTGGTAAACGTTGGTCTTTGGCAATAGTTAGTCAATGCTGAGGGGGGGGGGGGGTACCTCAGTTTTTACTTTATACTCCATTTAAACTGAACGACTTTTACATTGTTTTATATATTTATCATAAGGGAACTATAAATATTCAAATATTATTTTTGTGTGGTTTGCTTTAAGGCATGTATAAATTAACATTGAATGACAAATCTTGATTAAACAATGTATTTAAGAAATCACAACTAAAGTAGGCTAAAATGCCTATCAAATGCGCTTTGGTTCTTTGTTGTTTCCGTGTTTCACAGTAGCAATTTCAGAATTTCTTTATATTCACAGAAGACCACTTTTTAAAGACTATCTCCCTCTCTCTCTTTCTCTCTCTCAAATGATTCTCTCAACAGCCAACACAGACATTGATTGGCTTAAGAACTATATTATCATTCAACTAAACAAGATGAGTTTTGTATTCAATCAATAAACGCAGTTGTTAATCGATTTAAAAAATTGCAAGAAGAAATATTTTAGCATAATATAGATATCTAAATTATCCTAATAGATAAAAAGTAAAAATAACAAAATATTTCTTTACAAAACAAGATGTGTTTGTAAAAGACTGATGCCCCAGTATGGCAACATTGCGAGGGTTAAGCTTTCTCAAATGCAGATCAAATATGTTGATACCTAAAGTAAGGTCATTCATGACATACAAATGTGAAATTGAAAACCCTAGCACATCCTGTTCAAAGGTTATGACCAAGGTTAACGTTTTTGAAAGTAGGACAAACTCCGGTGTCAAGGTCAAAGAATATAGGTTGTTGGTTTCTAAAGAAAGGCCTTATCACAAGGATTACATATGTGAAGTATGAAAGCTCTAGCCATTACTGTTCAAACGTTATTGGCCAAGTTTAAGGTTTGTAAAAAGTAGGTCAAAATCTAAGGCCAAGGTCAAAGGTTTAAAGTGTTGATACTCAATGAAAGGTCTTCTCACAAGGATTAAATATGTGAAATTGAAAGCCCTTGCAATTTTAAAAGTTAAGGCCAAAGTATAAGTTTCTCATAAATACAGAAATGTCCAAAGTCAAAAGGTCAAAATTGTTGATTTCAATAAAAAGATCTAGTCATAAAGAATTCATATTTGAAAAATGAAATTCCTAGTTTCTACCATTTAAAGATTATGCACGCATGAGTGAAAACTAATACTCAGAATAATTCTTTGTGATCTTGAAATCTTCCAATGCCCGAAATTCTTAAATTCGAGAATTTTTTTTTATTTTTACGCCATTTTGTGCATTAATTTTTTAAAGATTCTTTCCAAAACATACACTCGCTGAATGACATGTTTTGTTTGTAAATTAAAATTTAAGTTGTACACTTATTAAAGTTAAGTCTTTGCCATCAATTTGTATCATGATCAGTTGTGTTTATGCATTTATTGATGTCGTCTTTCTGTGAATTTACGTAAATTCACTAAAAGCGTTATCCACGAGATAAAAGTGTGGTCTTATATCCTCTACAGGACATCATGGGTGAATAATAAAGTTTTTCACGATTTGCCATGCAATATTTGTGTCTATGCAGTAATGTATGATTAGAAATAGAGTTTAATGCTATGAAAAGAAAATACAAAACATCAAAATATTTTAAAAGAAATCAAATAACAGTTTCTAATTGCCCAGATAATATATATACAATTTGACATATATATATATATATATATATATATATATATATATATATATATATATATATATATATATATATATATATATATATATATATATATATATATATATATATATATATATATATATATATATATTTAAGCGTTATCCATAATTTAATGGGTAAATCTATCACATATCAAAAGGTCGTAACTGTAGCTCCGTTAGTTTAAAAGGTATGCTGAGTACAATTTTGTCGTATGTGAAAAGAAATTAGTTATCGTAATATGTATAAAGTCCTAACTACAATTCATATAGAAGCAAAAGGTTTTAAGTGGCACATACGACAATGTAAATGACAGAAACTACCAAACTTTTAAGAACTCTAGGTCTTAACTACCACTTAAGACCTTTGAAAACTTTTAAGAAATTTTAAAACCATTTTAATAGTACATGATTGCAGCAAATTTTAAGCAGTAATGTGATGATATAATTGGTATTTCGCTCAAATAAACATCCAAGAAACCAGTGATCTATCTAAATTGTGCTCGATAGCCATTCTACTCCAGAATCCAAGAGAGAAAGGATGCGAATGGTTGCAGCAACATTGATGAGAAAATATAAATTAAAACTTAAGATTTTACTTCACATATCAATATTAACAAGAAATTACGTCTTCTTACAAATATATAATGCAATTTGTTTCAAACAGGTTTTATTTGAATAATGAATTTTATTGCAAACGCTTTATTATATGAAAGGTAGTAAGTGGAACAAAATTTGAGTTATTGTTTTAAAAAAATACAACTCAGGCTCGTAGCAACGGGGGGGGGGGCACTTTTTTCTCCAAAAATAATTATACTGTAGTAAATGTTCATTGAAAGGCTCGTTGCCCCCCCCCCCCCCACTTGTTTTGGTATAAGGAAAATGTAGTATTTCAATTCAGAAAAATTGGTACTAAAAGAAGTTGGCATTGAAAAAAGTTGGCTTCACCCCCACCCCCCAAACAAAATGGATTTTCTACTTTGGACTTTGAACAACTTTCCCCCTTTTTTGCTTACCATTTTTTTCTGTTAAGTAAAGAAAAAAATTCTCTTTACCATTTAGCATATTAAAATTAAATTTCAAAATTTCTTTTGATTCGGGAAAAAAAGTTTTATGTAATAAAGGTTAGTTTTTTTTAATGCACATTATATTATAATCCTTTCAAAGACTAAAGGGATATTTAATACATAATTGTATTATCAATCTAACTTCCATAGTAATACAGTTTCTGTGTACCATGTTCAGTAAACATCAAAGGGTCAAAAGTTAATTAGAAGGTCACCACGAGTCCAAATAAAGGTTTACAGAGTATACACAGGGACCAGTTAGTAAGTGTCAATCAAGTTCCAGCATCCAATGATGAACCTTACGCACTTGATTGACAGGGTTACCCAGACCAGGTGTTTTTGAAGGCGGTGCTAAAAATCTCTGCCTTTAAGAGAATTATAGGTTCAGCAGAAGATATTTTTTAACGACTATACCTTTGCCTGTACAACTCTTAGAGAGCTATAGTATTACAACCCTTTATATCCATTGAAGTAAAATCAATGAGGTCCAGTCATGTAGAACATGGTAGAATGGGACTTAATGCACTTTGTGATATGATATAATATTGAAAGAAAACAGTTTAAGAACATTTAGAAACTGACCACATTGCGTAAAAAGTTTGATATGACAGTGATGAGGATCACATATTTTAAATAAACACACATTAAAAAGAAAAAAAAAACATACTCGGGTAATTAAAAAGTCCCTCCCCCCCCCCCCCCCAAAAAAAACCAAGGTCAAAGAAAAAACAAAAGATAACGGTGTATCAACGTTTGAGAATACACAAGACGACAGTGTATCAGATAAAAAACAAGAGAACACAGTGGCAGTAGAGAGAACACAAAGACAGTAGAGAGAACACAGAGGCAGTACAGAGAACATAAAAAATATAGAGGCAGTAGAGAGAAACAGAAGCAATAGAGAGAACACAGTGGCAGTAGAGGAACACACGAGACCACAGTGGAAAGAACACAGTGCAGTAAAGAGATCATAGGGCAGTAGAGAGAACACAAGAAAACACAGTGCCAGTAGAGGAACACAAGAGATCACAGGGCAGTAGAGAGAAACAGAGGCAGTAGAGAGAACACAAGAGAACACAGTGGCAGTAAAGAGAACAAAGAGGCAGTAAAGAGAACACATAGGTAGTGGAGAGAACACATAGGTAGTAGAGAGAACACAGAGGCAGTAGAGAGAACACATAGGTAGTAGAGAAAACACAGAGGCAGTAGAGAGAACACATAGGTAGTAGAGAGAACACAGAGGCAGTAGAGAGAACACATAGGTAGAAGAGAGAACACAATGGCAGTAGAGAGAACACAGATGTAGTAGAGAGAACACAGAGGCAGTAGAGAGAACACATAGGTAGTAGAGAGAACACAGAGGCAGTAAAGAGAACACATAGGTAGGAGAGAGAACACAGATGTAGTAGAGAGAACACAGAGGCAGTAGTGAGAACACAGAGGCAGTAGCGAGAAAGAGAGAACACAAGATAACACAGAGGCAGTAGAGAGAACACAGATGTAGAAGAGAGAACACAGAGGCAGTAGTGAGAACACAGAGGCAGTAGCGAGAAAGAGAGAACACAAGAGAACACAGTGGCAGTAGAGAGAACATAGAGACAGTAGCGAGAAAGAGAGAACACAAGAGAACACAGTGGCAGTAGAGAGAACACAGTGGCATTAGTAAGAACACAAGATAACACAAAGGTAGTAGAGAGAACACAAAAGTAGTAGAGAGAACACAGAGGCAGTAAAGAGAACGCAAGATAACACAGAGGCAGTAGAGAGAGAACACAAGAGGACACAGTGGCAGTAGGGAGGACACAAGAAGACACAGTGACAGTAGAGAGAACACAAGAGAACACAGTGGCAGTAGAGAGAAACAGAGGCAGTAGAGAGAACACAAGAGAACACAGTGGCAGTAGAGAGAAACAGAGGCAGTAGAGAGAACACAAGAGAACACAGTGGCAGTAGAGAGAACACAAGAGAACACAGTGGCAGTAGAGAGAAACAGAGGCAGTAGAGAGAACACAAGAGAACATAGTGGCAGTAGAGAGAACAAAGAGGCAGTAAAGAGAACACAAGAGAACACAGTGGCAGTAGAGAGAAACAGAGGCAGTAGAGAGAACACAAGAGAACACAGTGGTAGTAGAGAGAACAAAGAGGCAGTAAAGAGAACACATAGGTAGTGGAGAGAACACATAGGTAGTAGAGAGAACACAGTGGCAGTAGAGAGAACATAATGGCAGTAGAGAGAACACAAGAGAACACAGTGGCAGTAGAGAGAAACAGTGGCAGTAGAGAGAACACAAGAGAACACAGTGCAGTAGAGAGAAACAGAGGCAGTAGAGAGGACACAAGAGAACACAGTGGCAGTAGAGAGAACACAAGAGAACACAGTGGCAGTAGAGAGAAACAGAGGCAGTAGAGAGGACACAAGAGAACACAGTGGCAGTAGAGAGAACACAAGAGAACACAGTGGCAGTAGAGAGAAACAGAGGCAGTAGAGAGGACACAAGAGAACACAGTGGCAGTAGAGAGAACACAAGAGAACACAGAGGCAGTAGAGAGAACACAAGAGAACATTGTGGCAGTAGGAATATCACAAGAGAACACAGTGGCAGTAGAGAGAACAAAGAGACAATTTGTTTACTTTTTGTTTTGTTTTGCAAAATAGTATTTCAAATACACTCCAAATTGTGAATCGTACAGAAATCTATTTTTATTCTATTTGACACAATGTTATTGCTTAAATATAAACCTTCTTGATTAGCAAATTTCGTGCTCATTATCTGTTTAAATGTTGATGCTTCGATTTGTAGACTAACCATGTTAACGGTCAGCTTCGCAAGTTATGTAACAATATTTAAAAGCTAAAACTACATATTTGTAATGTTTCTAATGAAGTGATTATGTACAATGACTCAAATTGTTTTTGACATTATTATTTCTTTTTATTTTCATTGTTTTAAACTATTTACTGAGTAGTTTATAAAATAGGTTCCTGTACTAAGAAGGTTGTTTCGATAAATTAATTTTAAAGAACTTTTTTTTTGATTTAGTAGCAAATACATGAAAACACATATCAATCTTTATCATTCTGTTTAGTTGAGTAACATGATAAACATCATTATAAAAACACGTAACTATATAAACATAATTCACTTAAATCAAATTAATGGTAGTGTTCTTATTACTAATATGCAGAAAGGTAGTATGTGGAAGTTGCCATCTTAATTCCTGTAAAAATAATTGTATATTTCAAAGGCAAAAGGTCATATGTGTAAAAAATTAATAAAAGTAATGGTTTAAAACACATTTTTAAACTTTTTCAGCACTTTTTAGAGATATTTAGCTATTCTGCACAATACTGAAAAGTTTTAAAGAACACTTTTATTTTTTCCACGAATGAAACAGTTTTTTCCATTTTTCTTTCTTATTTGAAATCAAATGATGCACAGACCTACGACCTTTTGCTTCTATGGCGTCGATATATCGATCCATATAAATAGTTTTCACAACACAGTGTCTTTAACTTGTTTTGCGCAGCCCATTTAATATAAGATCGGCAATTTTGACGTAATCGGTCAATTCGTTGTAAATGTTGGCAGAAAGTCGCAGGTAAAGTTCATTCTGTACTGGAGAAATAACACAGATTATGTTATGTTGATTTATAATGTCCATCTGTAGTTTATCTGCACCAGCCTGAAATGGGATTTCTACTAGAGTTACATTGTGACGTATTGACATCTCTGTTGGTGTAGAACTCTCATTCTTCATTTCTCTATATAAATGGCACCTGATCCCACCTCTGATGTTTTGGAGGTCCGTGTTTGCTCTGCTCCTATTTTGTATTGTTTTATGGACTTTTGATCTGGAATACTGTTCGTTATCTCCATACGTTTCCTAGCACTAAAACCTTAACGATCACAGAATGAGAAAAATCCCTTGATATCGAAAGTAATGGAAAATATACCTCTCAGATTCAAGATTTTGTTGGAAACTAAACACTGTTTTCGGGCAAAGTTTTTTTTTATTCCCAACAAAATCTTTATTACTTGGGTATATACATTTCCCAACAATTCCGACGACTAAGAATATACTCAAATGGAAGTGTTTGATAGCGTTTGACAATATTTACCTAATATGTTTTGTCAGGGGTTTAGTTTTTCTTGGGTAGTATAAAGTTTGTCAAGCATATTCACGTATGAAATTAATGTGTTTCTGCAAGAATGTATATATTGTACCATATGATCTCATCCAAATTATAACCATAAACTTAAAGAGATAGAACTAGGGATGGTAATTTGTAACTGGTTAATCAATTAATCGGTCGGAACGATTCTAATCGGTTAGAGAATCCGTAATCGGTTTGTCGGAAAAATAAGACTTGTATTGTTAAAAGTAAAGTTCTAATTTAGAACATTGTTTTTAACAATACAAGTCTAATTATAGGTAGCTATATCTTACCCATGTCTTATCATAGCCTTCATATTCCGGTAACAATACAAGTCTTATGCCGGGAGCCTCCATTGATATCGGGATCTGCAGCACCTCTGTACCCAATCTCTCGGCTATCAACTCACTGGCTTTGTCCAAGAGGTTTCTGGCATATCTATTTATTTTTTCCTACATATAGAGTTATATTTAAATGTTTTTTTTTCTCCAGAGAAACAGCTTTTTTTGTTTGATAACTATAGTATTTATATATTTTTAAATATACTTAAAATAAAAATAATACTTTAAAGGGCCAGACTGGGGTTTCCATTACGCAATACTTCTCATGTCATAGTAAAATGAAGCGTGTTCAATGTTTTAAAGCAACTTTTTTCACTTTAAAATTAAAAAAAAAATTAGCAAGTTGAAAAATTTAATAACATTTTTAAATAACCGATTTCCTAAACGAATTTTCAACTGATAGGTAGACTGACGTCGTACATGTAATAATGCTCAATATTATCATGAGACATATAGCGTAGTGGGTAGTGCGTTAGTCTCAAAGCAGTTTGATACGTTGGATTTTTATTGTAAGGGTTCGAATTCCCATGAGTACCATTAAATATTTTTTATAACAGAAACATTTTTAAAGAAATTTATTTTATCTCAGATAAGGATTTTTTTCTTATATTTTCAGAAATTCTGATTATGAGAAGTTAATTTAAATACTCATTTACATATTAAATATATCATCTTAAGAGTCATTCTCTGTAAGAATCAAAGATAAAGACAAAATTTTATCAGTAAAGTTTTAAAGCTGTATTTTATATGATCATAAAACGCTAAAAAACTCTTTTAGTAAATTAATGGTGAATATATCAAGAAAGTGAACATACATGTATGTTCATTGCAATTTCATACACTCTAATACGGTAATATGAATCATGTCTTAAAAAGTTATGAGCAAACATGACAAATGAACTGAATAGAAAACAGAGTTGTATTCAAAGTTTAAAGGAATGCAGTCTTTATGCAGCCATTGCTGGCATTTGTCACATTGGATCCATGTGGTGTTGATGGAATTGGCTGCTTCTTCTTCAAAAGAAACCAGACAAACAAAGCAAAGGGTTTCTGCAGGTGATATTTTTTTCTTTTTCTGGCGAGGTTTGATAACTAATGGTTTTTTAAATTTCTCTTGATTTAAAAGAAATTTGGATTTTGCTTTCATTTCTCTCTCTGCTTTTTGTTTGGCAAACTTCAGCTGGTTGGGGGCTATGCTGCGAATTGTGTCTGGTGATGTCACATGGTCAGGTAAGGCATTTGATTATTTTTTTATCTTTCTTTTAGATACCTGAGCCTTTGGTAGCTTTAGGTGGCATTTACCAACCGTGTCAGTCAGGTGATTTAAACCAGTATTTCGTAACTCCTCTGTAAAATAGCTGAATTGGTCAGACGATTCATGAATATTTGGATTCAGTATTTTGATTATCAGTAAAACTTGATTTACATATGACAGTTTAACAAATTAGCTCACAGGCCTGTTTAACAAAATGTCCTCAATAAATGAACGATTGTTTTATTTCAGCACAGCAAGAATACCACAGCTGTTAATTTGTTCCATTCAAAACGGATTCTACTTCCTGTTGCATGATGTTACGCTCTATATATCATAAACTTCAGCAAAATTGTTCAAATACTGTTTAAAAAAATATGAAAATATAGAGTCAGTGCAGAGCGTAATTCCAATTAACAAGAGCATATTTAAAAATATCTAAAAAAAAAAAAAAAAATTCTGTAATACTAGTAGGTCGAAGGCGCTGATGCAGGGATTTTTTCAAAGGAGGTTAGGTCCCCTATATATCCTACTAGATGAACACCCGCGCAAGCGCGGGAAATTGAATTTATATATACCGTTAGTACCATTTTCAACAAAGAATATATTGTTGTTGTAAATTGTAGTTTCTACTGACAGACAACAGGCTTATAGAAGGAAGAATACTATATTCAAAATCCTGCATGAAGTAGATGTGCGTCACCACCCCACCCACTTTTTGTGAAAATTTGAAAAAAAAATCTTTTTATTGATGTTAACAATGTATGTGAAACCTCATCATACGTGTAATGGATATTGTAACTCAGATGTTCTTATTTTATTTTCATTAAGGATAAAAACAGCGAATATACAAAATTTTCAAATGATTTGATTTTTAGGGGGGGTGGGGTGGGGTGGGGAGGGGTAAAAATTCACAAGTACTTGAGTCTTGGTTTATAATTATATATGTACCTTCTCGATATGAAAAAAAAGCTTTTTTTCTATATCAATAAGGTACATACATGTACATATTCATAAAACAAAACCCAAGTACCTGTGTAACCAGAAGTCTCTGTCGAGACTGAAGCTCTACTGGTTTGTACTTATAGCAAAGGAAGAGAAAAGTACTTAAGCAGTTGGGAATTGAAACTTTACAACATCAATAAATAGAATACATGTAATTATCATTGATTTAGTCTCTTTATGTTCTTAGTGAAGTCTACTTGCATGCCACATTACATATTATAATCAGACTAAAACTACTGTAATTGGAGTAGCATTTTGAGAGTATTTAACAGAAATTTCTATTTTTAGTAACCAAGGCAATAATGTTCATCAGTCAAAAACCGATACACAGAATTGTGTATCTAAGTGTAGACTACATGTGTGCCAAGTTATGAAATTATTTTGAAATCAGACCATAACTGTGGGAGACATAGCATTTTGAAAGAATTTCACAGATATTTTCTATTTTAAGTAACCAAGGCAATACCATTCATCAAAATCAAAAACCTACAAAGAGAATTATGTATCTTAGTGTAGCTAGTCTACTTGTGTGCCAAGTTAAATCTAAAATCGATCCAAAACTGTAGGAGACATAGCACTTTGAAAGAATTTCACAGAAATTTCTATTTTTAGTAAGAACGGCAACACCGTTCATCAAAATCAAAAACCGATACACAGAATTATGTATCTTCGTGTAGTCTACTTGTGTGCCAAGTTATATTGAAATCAAACCAAAACTGTAGGAGGGGTAGCATTTTGAAAAATTGTTTACAGACAGACATACAGACGGACGGACGCCGGACGCATTACTATCACAGGAGCTCAACTGGTCTCTGACCAGAAGAGCTAAAAATTAGCTTCCTTCCCACCCCCCGTGAATAGGTTGAGTAATTGATTTAGAAAAAAACCCTGAAATATATTTATTAAATCACAAAACTTTACAGCTTTAATTGTATTTTAACAATACCTTATTCGTAAGTTATCTCTTTATTGTAAGCAAGATAATTACAAAGTACAAAGTTTACGTCAGGTTCGGAAAGTACGGAAGTACGGAAGGTCAGTATAAGGAAAATACAATTCTTACCGATCAATCTATAAGATAAACATACATCAAAAATTGTATGTTTTTCTATATTAAAAGATCATATTTAATAGGGAAATAGTAACCAAACACCAACCATTAAAAATATTCTATTGACATGTATAATAAGCATATAATTATGAAAAGGAATGCAAATTATTTCATGATAGACATCGCAAAATTTACACACTATCTTCAATACATCTTTGACTCAGACACATTTATCAAGATATTATACTCTTTAGTTGAAAACTGAAGATTTTTTAAGGATTTTTGCATTCCCTCAAAATAGTCTCATACAGTTGCTATTCACAAGTTATCAAAATAAGTTGTGTAATTTTATTAGATGAGATATAGTCGTTGATTTGTCCACAAGTCAAGATCTAGTAAATGAAAACTAGATAATAAGTCGTACGTACGTCTTATTTTTTTTTCAATTGGCAGCAGTACGCTTCCGTAGTTACCACTTCGTCATATCATCATTATCTGTCATCACTTCCGGTCTGTTGTCTGCTATCACATCCGCATTGTCTGTAATCACATCTTGGTGAATTCCCATCCAACTTGGATTTTCCGACATCTGGTTGTCATTATTTTCTACCTCGTTGCCTCTTTTATAGCGAATAAGAATTACCACAACGGAATAAAGATGCAAAGCGAAGGACACGCAGGCAAGGACAAAAGAATATGGAAACCATATAGACCGTTGAAATATCAGTATACACATTCCAATAAAACGAAGAAGCAGGGCAAACTCCAAAGTAACTGTAAATTAATAATTAAAATAGGGTCATGTTTGAATTGTCAAAGAGGAAAGATAACGAACAGATTTCAAAAATTTCATAAATCTAAATCATAAATTCATGATTTCATAAATCCTTGTGTCCTCAACAAATTTGTGGGTAGCTACATCAGTTTTTTTAAAAAATAGGTCGTACTTAGAACATAATTTTCAGTAGCGCTTCTGTAAATCATAGGATTAATAATGATTAACATCATATACAAGTGATAGGGATATTTTTTTTACATATACAAGTCATCTCATATGCCATATCATTTAGTTCTTAATTAATTGGTCCTATCGCCTCTTGTAAGTAAGATCGACTTCAAAATGTATTTGAAACAAATTTGGCAGACTCGATATACTGTGTCTTTTATTTGAAATTCACTGGGATATATCGAGTCTACAAATGTTCAATTGTATTTTGTTTTATAGGGATTTTTACTCGTAAAGAGACGTCAACCTCTACAGATACTACAAGTAAGAGCCTCGGTTAACGTCCCCATGCTCCTTATATACCTCGGACTCTTACATCCGAAGGCCATTTTCGAACGAGCTCGTTCCGCCCGAGATTTTGGGCGGAACATATTATGTGTGAAATAAACTGTTAACAAGTAATTTTCAGGTATCTACGTGTTTGCATGAGGTATGAAAGTCACAAGAAATAATAAAATACATTTTATTCAGTGTGCGTTATTGTTCATTAATGAAAATTGTCATTATTCCAATTTGTCACCAGAAGTACTTTCGATTTGACTTGACATTAATTTTGAGTATTGCTAGTCAGAAAACGAAATTTTCGTTGCGTTAAACTAGTTTCGTTTGTCAGATTTTCTAGACTCCATTCCCGAATTTTAAAAAGACGACTTGTTTCAATTTCTGCATCGATTTTTAAAAATAATGGATTTATTGCTAATACGAGAGATTAACGGTGTTTTATGCGTAAGTTTTATCGTAAAAAGTGAGTATTTTATTGTTTCGTGCCATTCGTTAATATACAAAGCCTTATTTTTCAATTAAATATTTTTTTTTCCACTTGGGGTTTCAGCGGCGAGAATTTTTACAATGGATGCTAGAGGTTACGCGGCGCCAAGTCAAAAGTATCTCGCCGTGAACCTCTAGCATGCTGGAGTACCTCTACAGATAAAAGTACTTCGATCGCAGAACAATACTTAGCACTCCCAACCATTGAGCAGTGAGGGTTATTATGTTCCCCAAACGAAGTTTGGGAACATATTGTTTTTACTTTTTCTGAATTTTTTCTTTGTTCTCCGGTACTTTTTTGTCCGCGAGTGTTCTCGTAAACTACTCATCCGATCTAGGTGAAACCTTTTTAGGGTCACTAGGTATGTTATGTAGATGTGCGGAACGAAGGTCATTTTGCGCGCACGTGCGTGCATGTGCGCGCACGTGTAACACGTGAAATGACCAATATAATAGATTTAGCCGTAACTTTTTAAATATTGGATGAAATGCTTTGAAACTCATAATATAAGGATATAATAGTAGTATAGACATGATGACATGGTCAAAATAGCAAGATCTCACGCGCATGCAGGTGCCCTTCGCTGCGATTGGCTGAAACTAAAAGTCTAAATATCTATTTTGTTTTCTGACAAAATCCTTTGAAATTTTGAACATAGTCTTACATTATGAAGATCTACAGCATGATTTATAAGAATAATCATGAACGCACGCACATGCACGTGTGCTGCAATCTGATTGGCTAAAACTTCAAATGCCTACAACTTTCTTGGTTCTCAATAATACAGGGTGAAATTTCAAATATGAATAGATATAATGATTGCCTACATTATACTACTATCAAAAGTAAATGCATGGACGTGCATGCACATGCGACCGCACACAATGTATTAAAAGACAGTATACTTGAGTGTTTGATGTTCATGCAGAATTAAGAACTTCTAAATGTCAAGACATGTAACATACTGAAGCATGCAGATCTTTTTACCCTTGACCTTGAAACTTAGGTCAAGGTCACTAGTAACCTGAATAAAATGTTGATATTAGCTATTTACCAAAATCACCTTGACCTATGAACTTGAAATCGACCTTAACCTTTGTCCTTGACCCAAAGGTAAAAAGAAATATGAAGTACATGTACATGTATCTAGAAACACCTTTCAGAGTTTATTTCGGTTGACAGGTTAGAAGTTAAAGAGGTGGTGGTTTTTAATGACCTTGACCTTTCATCCAAATGTCACAATCAATCTTAAGTTCTTGAAATAAGATACAAGATTCAACTCCAACGTTAAATAGGTTAAGAATAAAAATACCCCCCCCCCAACCCCCACCCCACACACACACACACAAACAATTCAAATTAATGGCAACGTAGAGAATCACTGTTAAACTCAAATAACACCTCGGACCCACATAAAATTTCAGGAAAACTGCAGAAAAGAGCTCGAGGAAAGTGTATTAAAATATTTCATTTGAGTTTCCAAAGTATATAGAAATTATTAATTTATACAGAAAAAAATACAAATCCTGTCGTGTTTAAAATTAAAGTGCAGATGACCAAAGTTGGCATATAAGCCTTTTATAGCCTATTTATTCAGATGTCGTTAATAGCATTCAATTCTACTGATTTGAAATAATATTTTAATACCAAGCATCCTTTGTTTAATTTACCTTTGAAATTTATTTGAATTTTTTTTAGAATTACGCAATCCCCAGAAATAGCGATTTTCGGTATATTAAAAATCAATATACATGTACGCTCCTTCGTAAAATAATGAGATATTTGCATTCATGAAAAAAATATTAATAAGAAGGTGTTAAACAATATTGGTCACATTAGCTGACACGAATGTCTTTTTAAACATCTCTTGTAAAACCCAGAGAGTAGCCCCCTATGCATTGGAAAAAATGAATAGTTCCGGTCAAAAAACTTTTATATATTTATTTACAAAGAATATAAAATTTACCAAGCACAGGTATCAGAGTTGTCAAAATGGCCTGAGAGGAAATATTAAAAAAAATTCTGAACAGAAAGGAAAATCCCTTTTCCATGTATGGAACTACTATTGAATATAACCAACCCCGAGCCCGATCTTAAAAACACGGTAGTAGAAAATTAGAATTTTGCTGTTTTATTAATTTTTTTGCTTTTAACTTCTTTTCTTGAAGCCAAATGATATGAAAACACTCAAGAAGGTGAAAAGGCTTCATATTGTTATCTGAATTAAAATCAGAATTGTAATCTGAACAATTAGTCTCCTTATTATGTTCCCCAAACGAAGTTTGGGAACATATTGTTATGTTCCCCAAACGAAGTTGGGGAACATATTGTTTTTACTCTGTTTCTTATTATTATTATGTTCCCCAAACGAAGTTGGGGAACATATTGTTTTTACTCTGTTTCTTATTATTATTATTATTATTATTATTCCTGGGAAAATTTTGTCCTTGAGTGATCTTGTAAACTACACATCCGACTAAGGTAAAATGTTTTTAGGGTCAGTAGACATGTTATGTAGATTTGCCAAACAAAGGTCGTTTTGCGCGCACGTGCTTGCAAGAGCGCGCACGTGCAACGCGTGAAATGACCGAGTTAATTGATATAGGCGTAACTTTTTAAATTTTTGATGAAATGCTTTGAAACTCATAATGTAAGGATATATTAGTAATATAGACAAGATGACATGGTCAAAATTGCAAGATCTCACGCGCATGCACGTGCGCTTTGCTCTGATTGGCTGAAACTAAAGTCTCAATATCTTTCTTGTTTTTTAAAGAAATCCTTTGAAATTTTGAACATAGCCATGCATTAGGATATCCTACAACAGGAAATATAGAAATTATAATGAAAACACGTGCATGCATCTGCGCTGCAATCTGATTGGCTGAAACTTTAAATAGCTATAACTCCCTTGGTTTTCAACCAAACAGGATGGGATTCGGAACATAGATATATAAAATGGACTTCTACAAGAAGGTATGGTCACCATGCACATGCATACACGTACGTGTACGTGAGCTGCAATCTGATTGGCTGAAACTTTACACAGTGACAACTCCCTTGGTTTTCAGCCAAACAGGATGGGATTTGGAACATAGATATATACTAGATGAGATCTCGTTGCGAGCAACGAGTAGGTCTTCCGTTGAATTTCTAGATAAGATGAGATGTGATTTTGACTGAGATATTCGTTAAAAGAGAATGACATTAAGTTTTTCTTCATTAAACTTAAAGTTTCTGTTTTTTTATCCAATATTCTGAACATCTTTTGTTCAATATTGCTTATAAAAATACTCCCCCTTTTCGAGACGTAAAGCATAAAAAATATAGCATTTTGGCCCCTGGCGATCCCTTATTACGTAACATATGATCAAAATATTATAACATATTGTTGCATATCGTTAAAATGAATATCTTTGCTTCTCAAAATGTATACTTATTACAAAAAAGTGAAAGATGAAAGACTTCTGGCCCCTCTGAGCCCCTAATTTGATGAGACGGCCCCTTTTTCTTGATGTCAAACGTAAGGTCTTGTGATTTCAAAGACTTTTTGTTATACACTTGTTTAGAGATTTCTTTTCGTTTAGGAGAAACGCTTTATAGAAATATTTAGGGGCCACCCCTACAAGTCCTTAGTGGGGCCTGTTTAACAAAATTCAAAGTATGCATATTGTTTAAAACATTATTCTGACCATCCTTTCTTCAATATTACTTATCAAAATTTTCCCCCTTTTCGAGATATCAAGCGTCCTAGATTTGACATTCTGGCCCCTTGTGACCCCTAATTACGTAACATATGATCAAAATTTTATAATGTATCATTGCAAATCGTTAATACGAACATCTTGCTTCTATAATACATCACTAAATTTTGATCATTAAAAAGTTAAAGATGAAGGACTTCTGGCCCCTCTGAGCCCCTAATTTGAGGAGTCGGCCCCTTTTTCTTGATGTCAAACGAAAGGTCTTGTGATTTCAAAGACTTTTTGTTCTACACCT